TGCTGAGTTTGTTTTAAGTAGGTGCTTTAGACCACTGAGCCATCTCACCAGCCCCAGATTAATTCTTTTTTTAAATTTATTCACATATATTTATTAATTTACATGCTCTGTCTTATACATAAGCACACATCACATTAAATGGCACACATTACATACATTGTATATATAACCAACAGAAAAAGATCAGGAGAATAACGAAATAAATTATTACATTTTAAAACACTTTGGTACTGGGTGCGATGTGCACACCTGTAATTGCAGTACTCAGGACTCTGGGGCAGGACTCTGGGCTACCTAGCATGACGTTGCCTCAAAATATATTTTAAAAATTACCTTAGTAAGCAGGATGTTTCCGGACTATCATAATTTTTCATGGAACAATATATATGGAAGGTGACTTTTATCAGAAATGACTGAAGATGCAAATTTGTATTTCAAATAGTCCTCTTAAGACTTTTGACTGAGTTGAGCTGACATTTTGTCAAACCCATTTAGATGATTGTGATTTTACTTAGCAGCATGCTGCTCTGGCTTTCAGACTTGAAGTGTCAGCTCTACTATTTCCTTTTTAGTTGCTTGTGCTTACATGATTAGAATTTTGTTTGTGGCTTCTTTGCAGAAACCTTTTTTTCTTTTTATTAATTTTACTGAGAAACAAATAGTAATAAGAAAGTTTCAAAACCAATTAGTAGGACAGTTTCAATAATTAATACATTGCATATTGTTGTCTTCGTAGCGGTTATTCATAGTAAGAGATTAATTAATTCTTAAGATAATGGCAATCCCAAAATTATCATTGTCAATAATTTCACTATAGTTTTTTTATTTAATTAAGGGTTATGGATACTTGTCTTTGATAGTACAGCTATTTACTTTTAATATACAGAAAACCACTTTTAATTTTAAAAAGTGAAAATACCTTGAATGGAAGTCTGTAAGGTGCATGAAAATCTATACCACAGAATCTGAAGATACATCTTGGACAGGTGCCGGTACTAAGCAACAGCCGGGCCACGGCCTTGTTTTCTTCAGTCAGTGGAAACATGCTAAATATGACAGCTAGGAAAAAGGAAAAACTAATGAGCATCTTCATGGTTCTACTGTCATAGACAAATATGTCAGTTCCCTTAGGGATTAAAATTTAGTGCAGGGCCAGGGAGATAGCTCAGTAGAATAAGCGTTTATCTGGCAAGTGCAAGGTCCTGAGTTCAATTCCTAGTACCACAAAAAATAAAGAAATAAAACATAGTGCACATGTGTGTGTATGTGATCTGTGTGTATGGTGTGTGTGTATGATGTGTGTTTGGTATGGTGGGGGAGCCCTGTGTGATATGTGTGTGTGTGTGTGTCTGTGTGTGTGTTCGGCACTGGTGATGGAACCCAGGACCTTCAGACTCAGTCACTTCCCTGTCCTTTTTAAAATTAGAGGCAGAGGGGCTGGAGAGATGGCTCAGTGGTCTAAAGCACCTACTTGAAACAAGCTTGGCAAAGCAGAGGGAC